TGTTTATGGCAATCCAAGGTAGCTTCCACACTACCTCGAATAACTGGAGTTCTACCTGTATTAGTTTTTAAATATTAAATCAAATAAATTATACCAACTGTAATTTCAAACACATGGTATCTACATACAATGAAAGTGACATAACTAAAACATAAAACTTGCAAATTACATTCTTTCAGAGATACTCTAAAATAATTTTAAATATCTCAGCAAACCTGTATATACGAATAACAAATATGAAAAAAGCATATTCCAAAATAATTTATCAAGAATGTATTCAAATTTTTTTTCTTATAGCTTCAATAAAATATTGAAAACTATTTGTAGTTTAAAAATGAGTTTCAGTGTCATCTGTCAAAAACTATTTTGCCCATACAAAAAAAATATACACTTTTCACTACACTGCAAATACTATAAATTTTAAAGGTATTGTGAAATGCTCTTCTTTTAATAATAAAAATTCATCTTTTATTACTTGATAATACAAGAATTTTTATTAAATTTAATCAGTGAGATTCAAGTTATTTTTCAGAAATTGAACTAATTTAAATAAAAATAAATTGACTTGCTATTTCAAATTTAGAAATAATCATCACCACCAACATTAATTAGCTAAAAAATATCATTAATAAAGCAAAATTTAGATGATTAGAGAGAAATTTTCAAGTTATTGTCATACCTTATCATCATTATAATGATATTTGATACTTGAATTCAAATTTTATATAAAAAAATAATTTATATATAAAAGATATTATTTTTTTGTTTATTGAAGATTTAAGTTTTAAGACATTTTTATTTTTAAAATAATTTTTACAATTATTAATTTTAAATTTATTCACCAAATTTATGAACATCATCAATCATGAAAAAAATAAAATTTCTTTAAATGTAATATTAAATAATGATCAAAATGAAAATAGTAATACTGTAATATTACTGTATCAATAGATATATTCTAAGACTTAAATACAAAAAGGAAGTCTAAAAGCATTTTATCACTGGCATTTCCGACAAATATTGCCAAAAATTATATGTTAAATTAATATTCTCATACTCTCATTGCAATTAATTTTATATTAAATAACAAATTAAGAAGATAAACTTTTCAAATAAAATTATCTTTAAAAATACAAATCATTTAAAAAAAGAATAGATGCTTATTAATTCTTTTTTTATTAACATACAGTTTCATTTTGCTACATAAATATACTTCCAATTGAAATCTTTGAAATCTTATTCGTTTATTCTATTTGCAATATTTGGCAATCTTTATAAATATATATACTGTATATATATAAAGAAAATTCCTTCTTGTACCAATTTCTTGAAACGCAACTTGAATTCTTATATCATGGAATGTGTGAAGTATGAAATGAGATATTATGACAATAAATGTCCATATTGAACAAGTAAATCATCATTGCACTTACACCCTAACTGTTTGCTGATGAAAGTACATATTTGCACATTTGAAAAAATAAAAATATTGCTGATTTCATCATTAACTATATTTTGGCCATAACATCCCTTTTAATGCTTTCACTTTTTTTCATTTTGACTAATTGAAATGTTCACACTTTTTAAAATTATTTTCTTTTCAGATTAAAAAAATAAACTATATCCATAATATGCATCAATCAACTCTCAAAAATCCAAAAAGTTCAAATTCAAACCATCTTTTTCCAAATTATCCTTATAGTAACACACATTTGATAATTTTTTATAATAAATTAATGAAATCTTAAAACGACAGAAGCACGTGCCTCGGTCCCCCGAGCAGCACCCCTATTCTTAAAATCCCAGATACGCCACCGTCTGTGATATAAAATTTTGGTCTTCGGAGGTAAAAAGGAGTACAGTAAGTGGTTTTCTGGGTGCCACTCAACCGTGTGTATTTACAGTTACTACTGTACTGTACGTGTAACTAACGTTACCGGTTTCGGATATTATTAATAAAAAAAGGAATAATTTTAAAAATAAACAGTAATTGATTATTTTTCAAGGTCGCATTTTGTTTAAAATTTAAAAAATTAATTTAAAAAAAACAATCGGAAATTCAATATATTAAAAGCGCTCACTAGCGAAATACACTTGTATATTTAGTGACAATACTTTATGCAGCGAGTAAAAACATTGTAAATACACCTAAAAATACAGCATTTGTACTTAGACAAATACGTTCGATAATAAGCAATGAGAATGTAATATCATTTGTCATCCAGAAGAAGAATTAAGGAAGTAATTGCTTATGTACTTCTAAATGTTTGAATAAGAATGTTACAGGAATTTCAAAAAAGTGATTTAAATACAAAGAATATAAATATAACATATGATTAAGTAAATTGACCAAAAATGGGAAAACAACATAAAACAGTACATAGTTGTAAATTCACTCTTGACATGGCAAGTTTCTATTAGAGAATTTCATACAGACTTCCATGCATTGGAAATGCATTTAGCATACTTAGTGTTTCTGTCACTTTAGCTTTGCAGGATATGTAAATTTCTTTCATGATTCAAGCCCTCTTAATTCCAATAATATTGGAATTAATAATATTATTGGAATTAAGAGGGCTTTAAAACCTTTTCAGACCATAACATATTATGTTATGGTCTGAAAAGGTCTTAACAATTGGAAATTTATATATCCTCCAAAGCTAAGTGTGTAACTTGCTATATCAAGGTATATGACAATTATGTACTGTTTTATGCTGTTTTTCCATTTTGGTTTTGTTTATATAATCATACATTATATTCTTTATACTTAAAATCACTTTTTTAAAATTCCTGTAACATTCTTATTCAAACATTTAGATAAAAATATTTTAAAGAATAAGTTTTTGTAATGCTTTACATTTCAAATTTTTATACTTATACCNGAACCGTGTCAGAATGAATCCGTGCTATAAAAGTACCGTGTTATACGGGGATGGTATCAATTCTCGAACCGTGTTAGAGTGAATCCGTGCTATAGAAGTGCCGTGTTATACAGGGGATGGTACCAATTCTCGAACCGTGTTAGAGTGAATCCGTGCTATAGAAGTGCCGTGTTATACGGGGGTTACCTGTATTATGAAACAATTTGCTGCAGTATACATTACAGAAAAGTTTTAAACATAAAAAAAGTGAACATGGATTGCGTAAATCTTTTTTTGTGTTTTGCAAATATATATATAGCCTATATAATAGAATAACTAATGAAATTAGCAAAGGAAAAGAAGAAAATTTTAGTAGGAATATACAGTAACTATAAAAGGTGTGCAAACACGTGCATACTGAATTATATAAAGTGAAATAAAGTCTTGTTTATCTTTTAAAATACTTGTAAAATGAAATATTTAGAAAAGCTTCTTTGTTCTTTAAAGCTATTTTTTCAATACACACAGAAAAACATTTTAAACAATTTAATTTGTATTGCTGTATATATAACATTGCATGTTTATTTACTTTAATGATATAAATTATTAAAATTAAATTACAATTTGTTTCCATATGAACAAATTACTGCAAATACAGAATGTTCTGTACATACAAAAACACAGAATTATCGATTTAATCCGAACAGATGAGTTAGAAAAAAGGTATAGGAAGTATGTGATTGGAGTATCAAAGATTCTCCAATGTTCTCAGAAAACGGATAATGTATAGTTTATATCCTTATATCTAAACTAAAGAATAGGCTTATATTTTCTTAATAAAAGGAAAAACACCATTCATGAAAAAAATTAATATAATAAGAAACTGATATTTTCTCTTAAAATATACAAGCACGATATTAAAATGAAAATCTAGCAAACACTAGAATAAAATATACTTCTGCAGTTTTCTTTTTCAATTCAGCTCGGACACTTCCTTGACACACAATCTTTCAAACCATTTTGCATCCATTTATTTCGAAATATTTTTGTGAATTTGAAAAAATATCGTGTTTAAACAATAAGATGATGCATCAAGAATTGGAAAATGGAAGAATAAACGAGGTTTCGGTGAAAGAACATTACACCTCCATATAAAAGTATTCGTTTTCACTTTCCCGGCTCTGTTATATACTGTATAACAGAGGGAAAGTATGGCAATCGGTCTAAAAATATGATCCCCCAAGATCTTTACATTTTTGGATTCAAGCGACCTTGAAACGTCGAAAAATGCAAAAAAAAAAAAAAAAATTCGGGTGTTTTTCTGTATAGAGTGTGTGTGGAGGGCACGACGTTGTTCATCTTATTTGAAGCTTAATAATTCCTGTGCTTTTTGTCAAAAATTTCTGAAATTTTGCAGGATGGTTTCTTTAATAAGGAGATTTATGCTATTGAATTTTGGTGATTAAACGTCGAGGGGATGGAAAGATAAAAGGGGTCATGTGTATCTCCAATAGGGTTAGACTTAATGACGATTTTACTCGTTATTAGCATTTCCAAATACCTACTGTCAAAATTAAGCTTTTTGCCACTTTATAATAATTAAAAATATAAAAAGTTTTTAATAATAAAATATCGTAACAGAAGGCGCCACACACGCAGTTTTAAACGTTACCGGAAAAGTTAAGCAACTCGTTACTAGCTATTTTAAAACACTTCTTTACACTAAACATTGGTGTCATTTATGATTTATTTTCTAGTCATATTTAACACACTTTGAGCCTTGGCACACTGTTAATAATTAACATTAAAACTTTAATTATATAATATCTTCAGTAACAATACGCAGACGAAATTTGCTTGTATAGAATAATCCAAAGAGACATCTCGAATTTCTTAAGAGTAATCATCATCATCATTAAGAATTTATTTTGCGGTTTCTCTATACAATTGATAAAGGTGACTGTCGGATCAATAAAATTATAATTATTTAACAGTTTCTAGTTTCGATTAAACTATACTTTAAACACGTTGCTAAGGATATATCCGGAAGCAATTATTGTTAAATATTGACGGAAAGATTTATCATTTTATTCAAATTTGAATATTTTGGATTTTAATAATAACAACTTTTGCTTACAGATGCAAGCAATCGCATTGACTTGCGTCGAGAAGATCATCGATAAATTAGAAAAGACCAACATCCTGGACGATGTTTTACCTATGCTTAGTAAAGCTAAATTACAAGATCCTGCAATATTAATGCCGGTTGTAAGTAAGTAAACAACCGAAAATTGTTTATGATTGATTTTTCTTTTGCACCATCTTTTTGTAACTGTAATTCGAGAGTTTTTAATACCCGGTTTGTGTTTTTGTAACGATTTTCTACTCGTTTAATTTTTTATATTTTTTTTAAAGCAATTTATTTAATTTTTCAAAATTTTATTTATATATGTAAAGAAGAACTTATAAATTATTAATAAAAATTCGACAAAAATTATACTAAATCACAAGTTTTCAAACATTCGGTGACTTTATTTTTATTTTTATTTCTTTTTCTCTAACCGATACAAACGCCGATTTTATACAGTAACCTAAGGGAACAATTTTATTTAGTTCTTCTTTTGTAAACAAAAATATCGAAGGAGGGAGAAAAGGCAGAAAATAACATTTTACTTCGGTTAACGTGACGGGAATTTCGATCCTTTCCGAATTATTAAAGATATAAAAGAAAAAAAAAAGTCGTGTACTCGCCTGTCTTAATAATTGAAAATTTAATTATAGGTTTCGTTTACGCCATTTTACAGCAATTAAATTCCTATAGATTATCTAAGACACAAATTAAAATATTGGGAAGGAATTTATAGTAAATGGATAAGAGTTAATTTTGCAGTTTCCTAAATTAAAATTTAAACGTTAAAATGTTAATCCTGTACAAAGGATTGTCTTAAATTCTTAAGAATGTTGCCTTTACTTAATGTTTTTGTTACAAATTTGTATCAAAAGCTGGAAGATAAAGCAAAATTCGCCATTGTTTCTGTATTGCAAACTGAATAAGCTACTATGCAATTTGTAACTCGAAACTCTGTAATAGAACTAATTGTTTTTGCTATTTTGGATATATTAGACTATTTTTATAATACTGTTAACATCTTTTATTGTATTGAGAATTAATTAGTTAAATAACTAATTAATTCTCAATATTTATATCTGGTAAAATTTGTTAATAGAGTTAGTTTTTCTACTAAATTTGAATGTATAAATAATACGTGAGTTAGTTTTCTACTATTATATTAATATCGCTTCACCTTATAATGTGGCTTATCAGCGATGTATTCTATCACACGATAAAAATCTAGTAAATCACTCTTTGTCGTAATTGAATTTTTGTCACATTCTCGTTTCCAAAGTTCTTTCTTATGTAAGAAAAATCTCAATTTTTTTTTACATTTTTGACACGAATAGAACGAAATTTATAAGATCTAGAAGCTAAATTGATATATTTGAAGAATTACTTAATGGTAACTTTCTCAAACAGTTATAAAAAATGCAAAAAAAAAATGATTTATTGGTTTTGCATACAATAAAAGAAAACACCAAGTTCTGAAAATGCTTTAAGCTATTCGTTATTTTCGGTTTAAAATCTAAAAATATTTCTCGAAATCGCTAAAAACATTGTTAATATAATTTCCCGGGAAAAGGATTCATCGATTATTTCTCTCACCTTGTCACATGACTTTAACATTTGGTAGATATTTTGTCATATCTAATTGAATATCCTTCCCCTTTCCCCATTACAACGAGATTAATTATCATATCTATCGATTTCGTCTTCGAAAATGCTAGTGTTCCTATTGTGGTAAACACCTTTGTATATTTTCTTCGTCTCATACAAAACTTAAAATCGTAAAATTATGAAGGGACTGTTTTGTACAATTGTATGTATTATAGAAAATTAATATAATGATTTCTCAATAATTCTAGCGAGACAAATGATTCGCTTTGCAATACTTAATCCAAATCAATAAACACGTTTAGCATTTATAGTCGACACGATTCGTAATTCAAAGCTCGGAATGTCGTCCTCGAGAATAGGAAGAACAATTCTCACAGAATTTAATTATAATATATTTATACGCCGCTATTTAGGTCACATTTACGCATCTATAAAATACGATTAATATCAAACTTTAAATTAGATCGGAATTTTCCCCACTCGAAATTCATTAAAGTGCTTAGAATATAATAATAATAGAAAGAAAGAATTTTGAACTGGAAACTAAACTTTTCGGACAATTAATCGTCTCGACGTAATCGAGTTTAATCCGAAGTCAGTTAAATTTAATAGGAAGATCCGGATTGAGAACGGATATTCTAACAATTAAATAAGAGTACTGTAAGTTAGAATTCTGTAATTTTGGAAAATTTCGAAAATATGCATTTAATAAATTATCTTCTGTAAATAAATTATTCGCATTACACGAAAGGAAATAAACCTTTATGGCTCGTATCCGTTTCTAATGATTCGTTGTAATTTGAAAATTTTTCCAGAAAAATTTGAAATCGATGAGCGTTAAAAGGAATTTGTGAACTTCAGTTCCATTTTTAAATGCATCCTCCTCAAAATTCAGATTTATTTTATAATTTTTTTTAAATGCAACGACGACTTAACTGTACTTAATGGTATCCATATTTCAATATTTAACATGAAAGAAAAATAATTTTTGTAAAATATCTCTCCTTTTTAGCTATATATTTATAAAAAGTTTTGGTTACACATCTTAATCTATAGCTTGATTAAAAATTAATTTATCTTAATCATAAATATATATTGCTGGTATTTATTTGAACGAATATTTGGCTTAGCCTTCCGATATTTTCTCGTGTATTCACTATCATTATTTATATTGTTTTGTGGTTATAAGATAAATTTAATCCGACCATAGTTAAAAATATTCATAAGACTAATTTATAATTAAAAATCTCACATTTTTCTCCATTAAATATTTCATAAGAATCATTTTTTCGCAAAAATGAACTTAGAAACGTGAAACTAAAATATAATAGGCTTATTGTCAATTTTAACTTCTGGGATTTTAGCCGAACTCTTTTTTGTACAAAGAGCTTTAATCTCCGACACTAAAGAACTCTCGGGTCCAAAGCAATTATTTTTAAACTGAATTCTGTCCCTCGATACTAAAAACCATGCAAGATAGAAAGTCGGCGATTGATAACTGACTATTTTTTTTATGAAACGAAAAATTATAAAAATATATTTTTCTATTGTTCTTAATTCATCAATTTTTAAATCCTAACTTAATTAAACTTTTGTTTTTCTAAAGTATACTAAAAAAATAATAATAATAATAATAATTTTTTTCTTTGTAGGAATCTACAAACACATGTTAGGCGATAAAAGATACGGTTTAACAGTGAATATGCTGGCGACTAAAGTCATGCCCGTGTTAATTCCGGTAGTGGTGAGTCCTGCCCTTAAACTTCACCAGGTAATTTCATTATTGTGTTTAGATTTAAGTTGAATCTCTACTACTGAATTTCTATCAGCTATCATTAATTATTTTGATCCCCGATTAAGTTCACGTCTCTAGTTGAACTATTGGAAGAAATGCTGGAACACGTAGCTAAGAATCAGAAGAACAAACTAAAATTAGAACATCTTTCTGTGTCCTCTATTGATCAGTAAGTATAATTACGAAACCAACGTTTCTTTATTGATAATTTCCCAGTCTTATCGATCGTAATTTAACTCTTATACTTTCTAAATTATTGTTACTTATTGAATTTTCCTTATAAATCCCACCACAAATCACACAAATCTTTATATCATCCGTACACTAACAAAAACGAATAGCTTCTTTCCACCGACACTAATTCTAAGACAATAATAGGTGTTGACACAGAAATTCGATTCTTTCGAGCAACAGATACGGAATATTCCAATAATATTCGGTATCGAGTTGTCGCACGAGTGTGTGACATTTATGCTAAATGAGAAAAGCTGTCACAACAAACCATCAGTTTCGGCAATTTTATTGATTAAATAGGATAATGTCGTAGATGAAAGTTTGTTTACTGGAAAACATTGTTAAACGGGATCGAATTTAATTTATTTCGCCAGAAATTGAAGGAATATTTACCCATTTTTATACTAGATTAGATAGATTAATGGGAGATTCTGTCTTAAGATGCGTGTTATATTAATGGATGTTTTATTTATTTTGTTTATTATTTATTTTTTATTAGGATACGTTGAGTCTAAAGTTACTTTATATCTAGTTAAATCCGTGCACATTAGGAGATCGCATGTTTTATTTCATACAACGCTGTATGTTCTTGTAAAATTTTAAATCAATATTACCTTTAACTTATTATAGAAATTTAACCTCTGCAGAATCAATCTGTTCATTAAATTTTTCTAAAAATTGTAAGAAATTTCGTTTAAAATTCTAATATTGATGTACGTGAATTTTTCTTTTGTAAAATATTAAATTTATAATCTTAAAAATTTAATTTTGCACATTTTTAAATGTAAAAGATTACCTTAAGATATATTAATAATAATATGATTAGTATTAAGATGCAGAACTGAAACATATCTTAAATTTAAAATATTTTTTAAAATTCCTTTAAGATTATGTTTTCCTATTAAATTATATGATTATTTATATATTTTTTACTCAAGATTCGTCTATTAATGCTAAAATTTTTACTATATTAAGTGTATATTATATGAAATATACTCTCTATATATATTATAAATTATTTTTAGGAATTTTATAGTTATAATTAACTATGAGAATATTATAAATATTTCAATTTAAATAAACAATTTTAATAGTTAATATCTAAATGTTATTCCTAGTTTACTCAAAGACTACGTTTACTAATGTGTGGTAAATTAATTTTAAAATTTAGCGAAATTCAAACTTTACTTAAAACTTAAAATTAAATCAATATTATTCATAAATTATATATTAAAATAGAAGAAACTAATTCTATTGTTTTGTAATTCCATTGGAAAAATTATAGAACTAGATGCATTTATAAGTTAATATAAGACTATGCAAGCTCGAGATGCATGAATATATTTTCCTCCATTCACAGACTCCTTAATTCGCGCTGGAAGCAATTAATTATATAGCGAGACAAATTCATTATTAAATACATTCCATCGGTATTCTTTGCAAATCCTGCAATTCTTGGAATAAGTAAATAATGAACAATTCGACTTTGGATAGTGGACTTTATATGACATTAATGCCTAAAGTTAATTCAAAAATTTAATACGTAATTAGTTATTTCCCATTGGAAAATTTGCTCTTTATAATAATTTACTCATCTGTAAAGTTTTAAATAAATTTATATTGACGTAATGGTGGAAAGGTGAATTACGCAACCGAAAACGACGTCGTTACGCGCCAAGGTTATGAAATTTTGGCATTTATGTCGCGAAAAAAGTCGTTAATAAAGTTTGAAATATAAAGTCATTTTAAATGGCATTCAGATGAAACGAATAAGGATTCTGTCACGGATGCGTTAAAAAGTCCTTTCGTGTAATTAAAATTGATTTAATTATAAATTTCAACATTAATTCAGTTATATATATCTGAGGAAAACTCTTTATTAGACATTCTTTGCGCGAAGGATTTATTTCTAGAGTGTTATTTAGAAAGACTTCATATTTTAGAACCTATTTTTTTCATCTCTAAATTAAAATTTATAAAAGTTTTATGAAATTAACTAGAAATTTTAATTGCCGAGAAGTCTTTTTGAACATCTAACAAAGAATAACGTTCAGGATTTTAGGAAAAAGAGATGAACAAAACTTTAAATTTCTAATCTTTTAATGTGTTTTCATTTCGATGCCTTATTGGGCTTCAATTTGAAAAAATTGTAGACTTATAAATTCCACTGTCAGTCTGCATGTCCTTCCTTAATCTCGAGAAAGGAGTTATATAGATAAAAGTCGAGACCAGATATAGAAAGCTTAAGAGCAGGAGGCCCCATTAACTGTATACAAACCGAAAGTCATGCTATTTCAATTCAAAAATGTTCCCCCAAAAGCAGTCAATAGATGACCAGCACGACTCGATTGTTAAAGGAAAAGTATGATGTACAGGAGCAAGCCACTATTAATATGAGGTGGAGAGCATATATTTTCTATTAAATAAATTTAAAAATATGATTAAAAATTGCAACCCGGAATTGTGACGATGTCACAATAAAATAATCTTAATTGCATTTCCTTTTTCCGACTACAACTTCTATAGCAAATGCTCGTGTAAAATTATTTATCAAATGAATGTATTTATGTATTCTGATCTTACTTGAAACTTCTATTCAAATTTTAAAATTTTCAAGCATCTGTGTACATTATATATATATATATAAATTATCTGTTGCAGGCCGCAAACGATCGATCATCCTGCAAGGTACCCACACAGACCTCCTTCTCTACGACTAGAATCCAGAAGACAATCTATTAGCATGGACGATGTGATACAAAGAACATGCAACTCGGGTAAGAACGTTATCAGTTTATCAACAAAAATAATTAAACGCGTTTTCTAAATCGAAAGGTAACCGTTCACAATCCAGAAATGGAAAAATAAACAAGTCACTCTGGTTAAAGAACAAAAATAAAATACAATCGGTAACAAAGACATTGGAGAATCTGACAAAAGATTAGAAAAAGAGAATTGCATCTAGCATCGACTGACCTAATGGTAAATTGCTCTGTTAGAGAGAGTGACTCGGACTTCCCTAGGGTATAAGAGTAAAGGAGTTTGTAGGCAAGTTTGGACAATATCTCCGGGGAAGAAAGTACAGCGCATTTCCTGTCAAAACGGTTACTCTAAGTAGATATTCAATCTCTTTCATTCGGTATTTATTCTTCGGCCACCGTTATCGAGTCAGAGAGTTAATTTTCTAATTCGACTTGGTGTTGTTACAGCCACAGAATCCCCAGACTCTAATCTTCTCAGAGTGCAAGCTACGCTGCCTGGAAGAAGACATTCCGACAATGCCATTCAACCACCGAGGATATTAGTCGCGCCCTCGAGCCCTCAAGACACATTAGGATTGTCGTCGTCGAATCTTCAGATGAGAAGACACTCCAGTGCAGGACCACAAGATATACGCTTTATGTTCGCCTCCTCGCCAAAAGTAAGCCGTTTTTCATAATATAAGACTGTCCGGGTTATTAGTAATCGACCATCTCTTAATGGACTCGCTTTGGAAGAATACATTTCTTCTTTTTCTTTTTTTCTTGGTTTTGTTTTTGTTTTTTTTTTATCAGAGAATAAACACTCAAATCTCTTGCGGAGAAAAGTGAATTAAAGTATTGGAAAATTTTAGAAATGGAAGTTAAAAAACTGCATTAGGTAGACGACATTTTTAGAACTAAATCGAAAAAAACTTTCCATTGATAACAGAAGTATGTTAACAATGATTATGCTATAACAGGTAGCCTATACTGAAAGCAAAAACCCAACCGCCGCTTCTATTTTCTAGATTTGCATATAAAAATCCTTATTCCATTTGCTTTTCGCTTTTTATAGAAATAAAATAAGTAAAAAAAAGAGACAGTATTGTACTCTGAAATATTTTCGTGGTATCGTCTAAAAATAGATTTAAAAAATATAATGAAATTATTAAAGTAAATTAAATTTTAAAAAAAATGAGGATAAATATGTATATATTATTGTAAAATCTTAGTTTCTCGATTTTTTCTTGCTAATCCGAATCTTGTTTCTTCAATTTTATTCATAAATGGACAAAATAAGGAATATGATAGACAGTTCGTTAGCATACTTTTTTAAAATAATAATTTGATAATAATAAATTAATATACAAAGACGGAATAAATATACAGTATATTTTTATATATAACGTAATATAGAAAATAAAATTTATTCTTAGATCATTATAAATACTATATATGACAGAAAATAGCAAAACCATGTTATCTCTATCGATTATAGTTCTAAAATTATATAAGTTTTTGTTATCATTTTCTAAAGAGCACAAAGACCCTTTAAAATTAATTTTATATTCGTTTCGTCAATTACTTAAGAGATACAACAGCAGCAACAATAAGCTCCATTGTTAGAAATATAGATTACGTCGTAATTGTTTGAATTTCATTCCGACCAATCACGTCTATTATTAATTTGTTTTCGTTTCAACCAATTAGCGGAAAAGAACATTTTAATTAAAGGATTTTATTAAAAAAACTTAGATCAATTTATCCTCGAAAATATGACATATATTTCAACTAAATATTGTACATTAAAATCACGGATCAATTATATTCAGAACAAAAATATTCGAGTATAAAAATCCTAATTGGATAACAAAGCTATTTTAACGTTATTATAATTTAAAGAAAAAATAATAATAATAAGATTCGGCATACATTTCAAATTGTAAATAATTTAAATTTAGCTAACTACATGCATACATAATTTATACAAAATTTCCTTCAAAGAAATGACACTTTTTTTCGTTCGTTTGAAAGTTTTGATCGGTTTTTATAATCATCAAAATGCATTATGCCACCGCTTATTGTCTTCCCTATCTTTCCACTCTATCGATAATCGCATGATGAAGTTATCATTCTTTGTAAAAGTGAATAATTACCTAAGTGTGGAAAATTAACTTTCCACTTGGTTAGGTGTAATCGCCCGGCCTAAGATAAATCCAGCTTACTTTTCACTTTTCCATTAAGTTTCGGGAAATGCAGCCATCTATCGATGAATTTCAGAAATACTCGCGAGAAAGAGAGAGGATTTTTGCTTAAATTTGTATATTATTAAATATTTAGCGTAGAAAAGTTGCAATATAACCGTGCCTACGCTACCAGAACCATTTTATCTGATTTTGCAACAATATTTTAACTATTTTTTTTCATAGAATGCATAAGAATTTACAGATAAGGGAGGGGATAAATGTATTATTTATGTTTCCTTTAAGATATTTATTTGCAAATACACTCAAAACGTGGAAACAGAAGCAAAAGTTTTCGCGTAATTGATTTGATTTAAACTCGTTTGCTTGACACTAAGCTGGATTATTATTAAAATTTAAAGTAGAAAATGCAATTACGAAGCCGGTAGTAGTTTTGATTGTTTTAAATAATCTAAACTTATACAAAGAATAAAAATAAATAAACCTTTCGGATAGTTATTACAGGCTACGGGGAATTTCGATCTAAACCGAATGCAAATATTTACAGGGAGTGTGTGTTAGAGTTAGATTTTTAGATAGAAGTTGAAGATTTGGGAAATTTATTCATATCCGATTTACCGGGTACAACGCCGGTAACTAGTTATTGGAAATCAATGAGAAGTTTTGTAGAATTCACTGCAATTGCTTGCCGCTCTAATCGATAATCGCTTTCGGTACTTCGGTAAATGTGCAAAAATTAATCCGATTCGCAGTTACTTATACATTTTTTTTTTCCTTTTTATTATTATCGAAAAATCTTTTCGTGTTAACGTGCACGTATCTGCCGGATCGTGTCTCTTCGCTCCCGATGGCTTACTTGTAGATTGTGCACTTTTAATGTACGAATGTTCTTACTCGGCCGCGCTTTACATAATAGCTCTATAAAGATGCAAAAATGTCAATGATTTATACGGTTTACAGAATTGAATTTAAGCGCAATTTAATTTTAGAAAAGAAGAGTCCGGTTGTTCTATTTTAACTGATGAGTTGTGTTGGCCTGTGACCTGTATACTAGTTTAGAACGATAAGCACGATATTTTAATTAACCGTAATGGACGATTCAACTCTACAGATATAAATTATAAAAATATCCGCCTTTTATTTTTAAATTTTTTATATAATTACAATTTAAAAGCGTGTATGTCGATCGAAATGATTTAATCAAAATGGCGTCCGAAAGCTATTTACTCCAAACTGTAATTTCTATTTAAAATCTCTGCCGGCGTTTGGCGTTATTTATACATACAAATATTGACTACGTGTCCAGTTAGTTTCCTGTAATAGCCGCTTAAATTATTTACATTCTAATTATTAACTAAAATCGACAAATAAAATACAAAACAAATCTTTGCCGTGATTAAAAATAAAATTATATTGGAAAAAGACACCTGATGCCTATCAAATCCGATATTTTCTCGGAAGAATTTATCGCCGATTAAATTATAGTAATGCAAATTTAACCGTATATATTGATATAAATGTAATTATGTATATTTACAGGTTAGTCCCAGTCCTACACCCGCTCATGGCTTTAATTTAGAAATGCCATCTGCGGGTAGATCGGGTAGAAGATATTCGGCAGCGGCACTCTATATGAATTGTATGGCGGAGCCCGCAAATCAACCTTCTAGCTTACTACAGCAAATAGGATCAGGAATGGCAAGTATTACTTCTATTTACAAATGTAAGATACTATTCCTGTTTGATTTGAAATCGATTTCTATATTTGCAGCAACAACTTTTTTCCGGAAAATAATCCGGTTTATGGGTTTAAAAAGAAATGAACAATTCCTTTCGATGCAATACCCGGATGTTCCTTTGAGACACCGTCGTAGTGAGACCAGACCTGCAGTAGGACACCTTTCCATTAGACGGACAATCCTAGCTTGCGCTCAGAAGGTAGGCCCGTGCGGTGTATACATTTTGGACAATCCCCAAAGCAAGAAGTCAAACCAGTATTTCCAACGCTTTGTGTTTTCACAAATTAATGCTCGCTATATAACAATTTATGTTTTTCTTTCATCAAAAAAAAATATCGGACACATTTCTTGTAGATAAAGTTTATCCGCTAATGGCGGATTTTCATTCCAATATTCAAAACATCTTCAGCGTTTTCACTGCCCTGCCTCCACTTCTATGTCCGACGCATCCACAAATATATATATAATATATATATTTAAAAAAAAAGAAACAAAAATAATGCGCAATAAATTAATGATGGTTAGTTATCGACGGCTACGTGTTTAATGCAAATTATTATTGATATCACAAACGGATTGTTCTGACAGAAAATTGTTTTGATACGCTGGGGCGTTTCGATTAATATACTCTATTCTATTTTGAAAACGTTGACTATGTATGTAGATAATTATATCTCAACCGATGCTAAAGTGTTTACATTTACTTAATATTTTTATTTTCGTAAATATTAAATGTCCTATTCCAGCTGTGTCCCGAATATATTAACATATTCAATCTTACATTTTCGGACAGATGATTCTTTATATTTAAAATACATAATCGTGTTTACATTTTGGATATTCTAATATATTAATACGAGGACGAAACACGTTAAGAAAGAAAATTTATTATTTAAAAAAAGAAGAAGAATTATAAATGTTGAAAAAAAAAATTACTTCTGGAATTCGTTATTTGTAAAGATTATTTTTAAAAAATTAAATTTTAATCCGACAGAAATTATGCAAATGTTAAAACTAACCTGGAATTTTATTTCAAATACCCTTCGACGTAATATATATCGAGAAGAATTTTAACCAAGAAAATAAAATTCTCCTTTAACTCTTAATAAATTAACTAAACGCACAAAGAATATGACATAAATTTAAATTAAATTAATGACCGCATTTAAGCTTATAATTAGCTTTATTTTAATTAAATTTGAAAATATTTCGCATGGTTCAAAAGCAAATTATTTCCAAGCCGGAATCGAAATCCCGGGAAAAATAAGTCGAATAAATCTTTATATAATTAATTAACGTTTATTTTCCAAACTTTATTACAAATCCACGAGTTTTTCTCAACTATTCTGTACATAGAAAACGTCGAAAAAATAACGTGCTGTACATAATAACTATATAATAAACGTCGCACCTCTCTAATCTTCTCTATACTCCGGTATTCTATCTAGCATTTGTTTTCTTTTCCTGACTTTATTTGCGTGTTCCTCTTTGGCTCGCAATTTTTTCCTCAGTTCTTGTAAATGTTGTTCGCTTCATAAAAAAAATATCAAAAATGTAAAAATTCTAATGAAAATTTCATTCGTTTATTAAAAAAAAAAAAAAAATTACTCACCGACTCCTGGCTGAAGCTTCCATCTTCTCGGACTGTTTTAATCTTTGTAGTTCTGCCTGCTGAGCAACAGCTGTGGAAACTTGATCAATACGATCTTTTGTAGCAAGCTTGCTCAATCGTTCTTCTTCTCGTTGCTACAAATAATCCAAGTATTGTTTATCTCGACCTATCATTTAATAATGTCTAAAACAATATATTTCCACAACGCCATTTATTATTAACCACTCTTATCAAATCTATTAATTATTATTATTATTATTATTATAAACGGCGTTTATGATAATTACGATAATGAAATGAGGAACCGTAATCCGATCCTAATGTATAATAATAATCTGGCAATTTTATCAATTTGGTAAAACGTTTCGTCGTAGGAAGCAAGAGTTTGCACGTCCTAATGTATATTTTATTTTAGTATATTTACGTTTTTGTAATGTAAAGGCGGTAAAAGTGTTTTACGCCATCGAAAACAACAACATCCGTGTAGAGTAAGGTATAAAATATTTTAGAATCCAAGACGTGCCACGGCAACGAATGGACAGGTATGCACCGGATACTGCCTTACGTGGAATATCGATCCGGAAAACCCTCACCAGACTATCGTCACATATCTAGATACTAACCATTTATTCAACACGCAAGTTATCCGCACTAAATTAAACGTGTACGGAATCATAACGGATACAAGATATTGTAATTCCCACGGAGATGAGGAAATTAAAGCGGAAAAATAAATTATTTTCATTAATTTTCAATTTAAGCATATTAAGTCAAATTAATAACTAAGTGAAAAATAGTTTAATAATCATTCTTTTTCTCCTAGAATAAAGCTTAATTAAAGTAGCTTAAGTATAAAAAGTAATGATTAATCTGAGTAAAGCGTCAATGGAAAAACTTTTCCAGATAAAAAAAATCTGAGCAGAAAACTGTTGATTTCGTCAAAAAACCGAGAATTTCCATAATTACCTTTCTTCTTTTCTCCGCTTTATCTAACTTTTTAGTTATTTCTTCGTAGGTGAGTTCCTTTTTTTTCTTTTTTGGTTGACGTAGAATGGGCGGCAAGCGCCTAATCGTCTGATATTGATTTTCATCGACTAACTCGAACCTGACAAGAAAAGCGTTAAATGAATAAACATATAATAAATAATTATCATTAAAAATATCTTTATCTAATGCAAAAGAAAACAAAAAAAAGAAAAATAAATTCATTTTCCTACAACAGTTTTTCCCTAAAGAATACCATTAATTGATTTATCGCAAGATTTTTTTACGATTCCCATGAATTTTGCAACGATTTTTATTTCATTAGAAATGCTTTAATATTTAAGTATTTAATACGTAAGTTTCTCGGTAGAGCAAAAATTGCTATTTCTCTTTTGTTTTTATTAAAATCGATAATAAAGAATTTCGTTTGGGCAATCAGCGGGATTGCTACAAGAAAAAAATTCGACGATACCAGAACTTACGTCAATCCACCGGTTGCTCGAGATGCGGGACGAAATATCAAACCTTCTTCTCGGAGTTTCTGCATGATTTCCTTTTGCTCCAGCCTATCTCTGTCTTTGGGACTTAATTTCCTCGGACACGCTCGGCCTTCGACCAATAATTCTAATCAAAGAAACCGTTTATAACGTCATCAATCTAGGAGCCCGTACGGATTAATATATTCCGCTGGATTGGCACCGTCTTATTTTAATATAAGTGGTGGAGCGCATTAATCAAATGTTTCCTTACCTAAATTGTCCATAGGTTGAAATTCCCGATGTACTTTCTGCACTTTTATTGGATCGGAATGCTCCGTTACGATGTGAGCGTATTCTTCGTCTAATTCGTAAACTCCGGAATCCGAACTGACCGCGCTTTGACACGAATTGAAAGAAAATCCCGAAACTCTGCTATCCATCGACGCCTGAAAAATTAATTATTTAATTTATGCCGCCACGAAAATCTGGCGAAAAATATAGCCAGCGACATCGAAATTACTTCCGCCATCTGGTGATGCTATTACGAAGCAATTTCGCTCTCATTCGTTAATTAAACGATTTTGTTTTAAATTTAAAATTTTATTATTAATTTTAAATTTAAATAATTAATTAATTCGTAAAGTAATTTTTTGATAATATTTTAATATTTTATTATCGGTTACGTACGACGTAAATCTATCAAAACCGAATTAGACCTAAAAATCGATAAATTAAATATTAAGAATGGTTAAGTTTAATATAAAGTGAGAGCATTTGACAGCCGAGGCATCTCGTTAGGAAAAGAAAAGACGAGTTAAAAGCACCGTATCTTTTCTTATTAAAACAATATTAGTCGTTAATAAAAGGCACACCCTTTTTGGCACGTTTAATTCTCTCGGGAGTGAATGACTATTAAAGATAATTATTATTCCATTTTCTAATTGTGTTAGAGTTTCTCTTATCAATTAGCGACGTCAAGAATTCCACGGCGAAAAGTGATTGAGCAATGCTAAAACGGCTTTCACGTTGGGAAAATATGTCATTTGTATCGGTTAAATCACCGTCTTTAACGGGATTCTTGCCATAATTTTAATAACAACGCTTAGAATTATCCTCGAAACTATGCGTTTTCATTGGAAACATCAATAAATTCTTACGACTCGCTTAAAATATTTAAAATCCGAGCATCGATATCGCCTTACCTCCAGTTTATCGACTTCTTCTTCGCTCTTGCAATCATCGTCTTCCGTTACCAGAACGTGAGGTAGTTCGGTTTCTTTCTTCTCCGGTGTTTTGGCATCTTTAGGTCCGTTTTCACGGGCGACTTTAATTTTCTGAGGCGATATTCGGCTGGCTGTACACCCCATGATTGGGCATTGTCACCAATGCTTCTGCTCTATGACGGATACGCTATCGACCCGCACCGACTGCCGTCGCTCACCATAGAAACCGAGTATAATTTACACACTAAACGTACTGTACACTATAAAGAACACGTAAACAGGTCGCTCTTAGTTCGAAATAGTATCGCTAGATGGAGTTAATTTGACAAAAGTGGGGCTTCTTCTACCCAGAACTTGTCCGTGCAATATTTTTTCACACTGCAAACTTTGTTTCCGTCAAAATTACTTATAATTTTCACAAATTCGTGTTTAAATCACATAAATCTACGTTTACGAAACAGTTATGACGCAACGTATTATTATTATCGATCTTTTTTTTTTTGATAAAAAGGTAGACCTATCGGGTTTTTCTGGCGAAGAAGATTCGTTCTGTTAACCCGTTTCTTCATTAAGATAATTGATTGCTGTTTATTAACCGAAGGACCTAAGACCAAAAAAAAAAAAAAAGTTAATCAACAGAAAGATGCGAGATTACTTTTATAACATTATTCTTTAGTGTAGACTAGACTTTGGCACGTTTAATGACACCGCCGACGATTACGGACAAAGTAATTTTCGACAAGAAGACGTCCTTCAAAGAAACGAAAATATAAAAAAGGCGAGGATTATACAATGGGGAAATTTTTTAACGTTTTCGGCATCGACGATCAAATTGTTGACGAAATTAGGCCATCATTGAATAATTTATAACTTATAAATGGCACCGTATAATGGAATACCAAAATTTTGATCTTCTTTTTTTCTTTTTAATAATTTTTTTGACATAATTCTCGGCCAATGACATCGTCTATTTCCAATTATGGAATATAACCTCTCATAAATTTTGTACTTAGACAAATACGTTCGATAATAAGCAATGAGAATGTAATATCATTTGTCATCCAGAAGAATTAAGGAAGTAATTGCTTATGTACGGTTTTCCTAATTAAGTTTTTACACTACTTTTTTATATTATTTGTTTTTTCTTCCGACGAAAATGATAACTTTTCTGATTAAAAAACTAAATAAATAAATAAATAAAATTAAAATGAAAGGCAAAATTAAAAGTAAGGTGGAGAGAAATTTAATTTTTCTGAAGATTTTGATCAAATTGTTATTTTTTTTTCAATCGGAGTTAATTATGTTAGAGAAGAGTATTTTCAATCTTTAACCTCAATGAAGACAGAAATTCACATAAATAATAAAGTCGATTGTTTCGATTCGGCAACATTCATTTTACCACTTTAAATCTAATTGCTTTTTGCAATTTATCTAATTTTTTTAAAGCAAACTTCGCTAAACTCCATTAAATATATATATATATTTCTTTGAGATAAAAGTCTAAAAACTTAATTTTTATTCGTCTTCTTTAGCAAAAAATTTAATCTTTTAACAAAATATACAGTAACAATAT